TTCTGCCCGGGCGCTGCGGCTGAGGGGAGCGGCCTACGGCAGCGCGCTGGCTCCTGTGGGAGCGCCCGTGGGAAGGCGGCCTGTAACCTCCGGCTAGGGAAGAACGATAAAAATAGCGTGTTCTTATAAATATGCGTACGTACGCTAAAAACGAGGGGTCAGTCGGAGCACTGGCCTTTGACGGGGGCTCCCTGGTATCGGTCAGGGCAGCGGCCAAAGCGGTTCCTCACCGGCTGGGGAGCGTGTCCTTCGCTTACTGAGACTGTTGCTGTGCTCTCTCCGTAGTGCCAGGAAGAACAGAGGCCAGCAAGAGACACGGTGGAGGTGGCTGAAGGTAGTGTTCCTCCTCTCCTCTGCTGCCGTCGGTGGCCTCCTGGGCTGGAGCTACCTGAGCGCTGAGGACGGGGTCACAGAGGTGCTGGCTCGTCACAGCGAGAACCTACAGGACAAGTTCATTGAGATCCCCTGCTCTGAAGACTACGACAGCCACAAAAGATTTGAAGGTATTTGAATAGGATTGTCTGAAGCAAGATGAATAATTAATTACTCAAGTGCACCCAGAGAAGGGCAATGGAGCTGGTGCAGAGTCTGGAGCACAGGTCTGCTGGGGAGCGGCTGAGGGAACTGGGGGGGTTTAGTCTGGAGAAGAGGAGGCTGAGGGGAGACCTCCTGGCCCTCTACAGCTCCCTGAAAGGAGGGTGCAGAGAGGGGGGATGAGTCTCTTGAGCCAAGGCCCCAGCGCCAGGCCCAGAGGGAATGGCCTCAAGCTGCCCAGGGCAGGGTCAGGCTGGCTCTGAGGAAGGATTTCTGTGCAGAAAGGCGTTGGAATGGGCTGCCCAGGGCAGGGGGGGAGTCCCCATCCCTGGAGGGGTTGAAGAGTCGGGTCGACATAGCGCGGAGGGATCTGGGGGAGTTGGGAAACGGTCAGGGTGAGGCTTATGGTTGGACTGGAGGAGCTTCAAGGTCTTTTCCAACCTAGATGATTCTGTGAAGCAGCCTTCACATGACCACAACAGGCTGACTGATGTCTAAGTTTGTTAAACTGAATGTGTACTACATAGTATCTCTTCATCTCTGTTGATTTCTGTCTTAAGTTTATTACTGGTACATACCATACAGGGTGTGGAATGGAATTGATTTAGGATATTGTATGTGCCACTTGTGTGTGGCAATGACACAAATGCCAGCTTCTGCTACACTTCTTTTGATGCTGCCTGCAAAACATTTTTCTTTGTCTTTGAACTGAGCCTGTCAAATTTGTATTTGATTTCCCTGGCATTTGTTTCTTTAGAGCATTGGTGTTGGATCTTCTAGAAAAACAGAAGATTTTCATCCTCTCCAGTGAACAACAGTGAGAAAATTGCAGTTTGCATGGATAAGCTATGCTGATGTTCTTTTTCAGATTTGCAGAGGGTATCCTGATGAACGTTTTGAGCTGGTACTGCCGCCAGAGCAGCTCTGCTCTTGCGTTTTATCAGCCTACCAGTGTGTCTAGCTATGTGTTGACTGATAAGCTACTGCATCAAAAAAAGACCCTGATAATTCTGAGTTAGTTTTTAGGCAAGTCCGTTGTTTTACCTGGTTTGTAATGTGGCTGACAAAACACTTGGTGACACAAAGCTGGAGGCAGTGTGAAGGTTGGAAGTGTGACTGCTTGGAGCTGAGGAAAAACAAAGGTGATCAGAGGGCTGGAGAGCCTGCCCTATGAGGAAAGACTGAAGGAGTCAAGTCTCTTCGAGAAGAAAAGTCTTGGTTGGGATCATATCACAGTATTCCAGTAGTTAAAGGGCAGCTACAAAGAGGATGGAATCTCTCTCTTCACAGGTGGCCACATGGAGAAGACAGGGGGCAACGGGTACAAGTTGCACCAGGCAAGGTTTCATCTTGATATGAGAAAGAAATTTTTTACAGAGAGAACAGTCCATCTGGAACTGGAACAACCTCCTCAGGGATGTAGTAGAGCCCCTATGACTGCAAGTTTTCAAGATGCTATTGTACAGGGTGTTAGATCATCTTGCCTAGGTTCCCTTTCCCATGGAACAGGGGATCTTTTGAGGTCCTTTCCAACCTGGGCTGTTCTACAATTCTGTGATTTCTAACTTTATTCCATTGCCAATTCTGGTAGGAAGTGTTCATTAAACTGCAGCCTGGATGTGGTGCCCCAAAGCTGTGGAGGTAATTTTCCCTGCTCTCTTCACATCACTGGTCCTGGTGGTGTTGGTCAAAAGGCTTGTAACATAAACCAAAAGTTTGTATAGTCTGTGGTCAGATAGTTTTTCCTCAGTACTGCTACTGTAGCATCTTTTTTTGAGTATTCATCCCAAATGTCATGGGGCTAAGAAAACTGCTGTCAGGAAGCTACCAGCAAGAAAACTTCCTCAGTAGGGGATTTTTTGACTGAGCACATGAAAACACATGTTCTGTTTTAACTTTTCATAGTTAACTATAAGGAGAAACTGTTTCTGGCTTTATTTGTGTCTGTCAAGGCCAGAGAAAACTGCAGCCAGTGTTGCCACGAATTTGGTAGCTACGATTGAACTAAGGCTAAAACTGTCTGCATTCTGCTACCAGGGCTTCTGCTTATCAAAAGAACCCCCCCAAACCTTATTTTTCCCTTCCCTGGTTTGCAAGAGGAATTTTCTGAGCTGTGGACTTGTGGTCTTGGCAACCTCATCAGTGATTCTTTCCATCATAAGGAAGGCACAAACTTCGAGGATATCTGCCTGGAAGAGGAATGACTGTGTTCTCTATTCTTGTGGCGCTCTGCGGATGCTGGTTGTGGGGTGCAGTGTCACCCTGGCTTTGTATGAGAATGACTGACATGGCTGGCATCAACCCAGGAGGAACAAAGGGGAGTCATCTGGTGTGAGTTTGCTTCTGCTTTCTAATTAGATGTTTGCTTGCTGCTGCATCTTAACTTACGTGGTTGATTTGGAGTTTTAGCAGATATTTTTACACATGTTCCCCTGTACTATGCTTTCAGAAGGACATTAGTGGTGTTAGAAACGTGTGAGCATCTGTCTTGTTAAGTGGTTAATTGAAGCCGTACTGCGATGATGAACTTTGCTCTTGTTTTTTAATTCTTGTCTCCTGCTGGGTGCCCGCAAGAGGGTGGTGGTGAGCTGCTGAGCCTTTCTGTGCCGGCAAAGCCAAGCTCCCTCCTCCACGTGTGTGCCACTGATAGCTTAGTGAGGCACTAAATGCGGATTACGGTTTTCTGCCAAACTGGATTCAGCTCTGGAGCTTTAGTCACTTTGGAAATAGCTTTCTATCACTCAATAGCTTTTCATTCTCTGTCTTTACTCTGGCTTGACAGCCACAGCTGCTGGCTCTGTGTCAGAAGGAGGCACATTCCTCTCATCACTTGGTGTCTGATGCTCAGCCATAAAGTTTCCACAGCTAAGATGAGCTTTTATACACCTGTTGCAGCTTCAAACTGAACTAGTGCAACTGAGCTGCTAGGTTGCTTCAAATGATATGATAGTTGGTATCATAGAGCAGTGGTTTTATTTCCATAGCACTGCCTGCCAGTAAACATGCTTCATGCAGAAATAAAATGTGTTATTTTTCAGAGGCCAAGCACTTAACTTACTATATTTGCAGAAGATAGATTCTTTGAGCACAGTCTCATCTGCGTTTGGAACCCTGTGGCCAGATCTTGCCTATTTCTGTTGCCCTGAGACATGGTTAACTACTTAAAACTGCTGTGGCTACTAGTGTGATATAACTCCTGTGTAGTCTCTTATGTGTGTTGACATACTGTGTCAGTGTACAAAGCATCCATGATCACTGCCCAAGGAGACAGCTGTAAGGTGCTTTTCCAGAGACTAGATCAGTGGATGTGGAAAGCAGAGAAGTCTGTGTGCAGTGGAGGAAAAGATCTAGCACCTAGACTGCTGGTGTGGTTATGGGGATGGCATCCAATAAATCTTTGCCTCCTCTTGTCCTGCTTTGAGATGGATTGCATAGGGGGAGCATCATGATGGGGCTTTTTTCTCACGTGAATCATCCTAGTCTCAGCAGCGTATGGTTCTTGGCTAAGTATCACTTTAAGTAGAAGACAGAGCTGCAGTTGAGGCACTTGGACCCCTGTGTTACTGTTTTCTGGGTACTGAATAGGAGCAGGGGCCATAGGGAGTACTTGTGGTTTTGCATGTTTTGGTATGCTCCTCCTTTACATTGATTGAAAAAATACAACTGTAAGATCCAAAGCCAAGTGCCTTTTTAGATAAGTGAATGATTTTGTGTCTGCTAAGCACAAATTTGTGGAAGGTACTGGGTACTTTGTAATACTAAACTGAATTTCTCCTGAGTGCAGATTCTCCCAAGTATGTTTTAACACTTCAGTGCTCCTGTGTACCATGGTCTCGTAGACAAAGATGATGCATTTCTTAATGCTAAAATTGTTTTCAGACAAACAGACTGTTCTGATTTTTCCTTAGTTTGACCAGTTTGTGCCTTACTGTGGGTACCTGACTGACTTTACACTGGACTTTTTCTTGTTTTCCTTCTCAGTTTGGAAAAGCTTCTGCTGTTGCCTTCAGAACACCTCCTGCTTCCGATGCTGTCTTTGCCAGCTCTTTGTCAGAGGCCCTAGACATGTAACAACCATCCTAGGTAACCCTGTAGTTTTGCAAAATCTGGACTTTCCAGTACTAACCTTTGCAAAATGCTAAGATCTATGCTATTTGCAGTTGGAAACAGCACAAACCGCTTCTGAAATCAGAAATCTTTGCTAGTGTCCTCTTTTAGAATGTTGTACAAAGAAAACTCTATTTAGACAGGTTTGTCTTGGAGTATTGAAATTCTTGTTTGAATTTATATTCTTTCCCACCTTTTCTCTCCTTGAACATCAGCTTTCCCTCATCTCTTAAGACAATTTTCTTTGCCTTTCAAGCATTAAAGAGACCTTTTCAATAGCAAAAGGAAAATCATTCCCCTCTT